AGCTGCCCCGCCAGTAGCGCCCCCCGCCCCGGGCCCAACTCCTTCCCTGAGGGTGCAGCCCTGGCCCACGGGAGGCAGGAGACCCCCACATAACAACCCCTGCCCGGGGCCCGACTCCTTCCCTGAGGCGGGAGACCCCCACACAACCCCTGCCCCACTTCCAGCCAGATTCTGAGAAAGGGGCAATTCAGAGAGAGGCAGCCATGCTCTCTCGTCCATGAGCCTGAACAGGGAGGATTGACACCAGCCCTGTGCCAAAGGGAGAGAAAGAAGCTAAGCCGGCCCCCGTGGGTGTTGGTGCCCCGGGAAGGTCACCCACGCTCATCCCCCGCTCCGGCCCTCTCGCCACCCCCTTGGGTGGCTGCCTGGCGGGGTCACAGCAGAGGCGAGGAGAAGCCTGGAGGTGTGACAGCGAGGCCCCACAGGCTGGGGTATGGCCCCTCACGCCACCAGGGCTGCAAAGAGTGGGGCTGTGGAAGGGCAGGATGGCGGCAAGGATGGCCACTGCGCTGCAATGACGAGCAGCTGCTGAGGACTAGGGAGAAAAGCAGAGCATTTAGGAGGTTCGTATTATGTACACATGTCCATTTTATGCGATTCTATGTGTAATACATGCCCGGAATCCTCCCTCCCCGGGATGCAAGAGATGGGATCTAAAAGCCCGAGAGCTACGGGGCTGGTTTAGCCATTCTCTGTGACACTAAGCTGCTGCTGAGCATCATACCATATAGAATGGAAGACTAACCTAGAGCGACTCAAACTTCAACTGCAATCCTGCAGAAGTAAATGTACTTAGACACAGTTTACTTTAGTATCGCTACAAATAATGCCAATGTCACATTATTGTTCCTCACATGCTTATCAGACTATGCTCAGAAGACAAGGTATTATTAAACTAGAAAGTAAACACAGGTGTCTGGAGTTTTAAATTAGACTTTAAAAATTGTCAAAATAGGAAGTTAAACAACAACAACAGAGTTACTGGTAATAAATTATGATGCTATTTAGCTGAACAGCAGTGCAACACTGAGTGTATACACTACAACCACATACTGGGGGAAAAACAAAAACACTTTGGGGAGAAAAGCAAGCCGAAAGTTTTATTTATTTATTTATTTATAAACCTCAGTGGTTCACTAGATATGAGGCATAAAAAGTTGGCCATGGCCAGTTTTTCTGGCATTGCCTCAGAAGTTCATAATACAGGTAGCAATTCCCTGGAAAGTATAATATCAATCTGTCATGAAAATTTAGGATCAACATATTTAGTCTGAACTAGGCAGATGCTATACAGTCTTCTAGATACAGCTGTCAATGCACTACTTTTCTGCTTCACATTATGCTAATTGTTACAGGTATGACCTCCTATAGTGTATATTACATCACATTACAGGCTGACCTGTGACTGCAGATCTATTCTACCCAGTGACTGTATCCTCAGCACTGACCTTCAGAGTTAAATGTTACTGATCAATCTCCATGGCATACTTGCACACTGACTGGGCTAGATGGCTAAGTTCAGACTCAAGTCTGCTTTTGTTTTTAGTTTGGGGCAGAGTGAAAAAAAAAACAGTATTTGGTGACTATAGGGAAAAAAACCACAATCACTTCACTTGTGAAGATCTAAGCATAGTCTATTTTTTATTCTTTCATCAGTTTCTTATCAATATACAACCACACTATGGAAAACTTAGAAAGACCTTCAAAACAAAATACCAGTTCTGAGGAAGTCAGAGAGAGAGGTGCTCCCATTTTCATCACAGGATGAAAGGCACGTTTCCTCACACACTTAATCATCTTGTCAGTCTACAAATAGGCAGAAAAACAGACCCTGGTCTGCTTCAGGGAGTGCTTGGTTCAGCTATCACTGAGCTAGCTTTCTGTTTTCACATAAGCAGATCAATGAACAGTTGCATCTCTATTCTCTTCAAAATTTCTCTGGCTTTATATATACTTCTATGAACAAGAATTTTCACCCAATAGAGACAGAGAAAGTTATCTGACAATCAGTTTTAACCCTTCTAAAAATTCAGTGATACTGCAGCAGCCAGCAAAGTAAAAGGAAAAACCATAAAATTAAAAATATGTTTTTTATTTTATTGATACAAAGAAACAAGCAGAAATGCTCTGAAGGCTGAAAGGGTATAAAGGAGCAGCAGCAGAACAGGAGCTCATAGCAGTCAGATGTTAAGACTCCCCTGAGGACCTCCTGGGTGCCCTGAGTGAGCAAAGCACTAGGGAAGGATGTCAGCTGGAGACTGGGCCAGAGCATGCGGCAACCAGATAAGACTCTGAGACCCACAGGACAACCCACAGAGACTGCTGCCATTTACAAAGTCTTACAAGGAGGGCCACTGAGATACTCCTTCTCATGCAGAATCAGGAGAATGCAGCAGCGATACCCTCTTTTCTTTCTGAATTTCCCAAATCTGAAGAAGAAAAGGTCACTCTCTGTTGCTGTTAGTCCAAATTGTACACATGCCGACCAGTCTGCCAGTGCGTGCAAGACAGCTGCTAAGGGTGCGCAGAACTCACAGGTCAGTTTCTTCTCTGCTGAAGACAAATTTCAGTCTCTCCCCCTACACCAAGGCTGGTTTTAATGAAACTCAATAAAGTATAATTTTCTTTGAAGTTTCCACTCCTCTATCAAATTTAATAACAACTGATCAATACAATCAAAAGTTATTAGAAAGTGAGTGACAGATAGACAAATGAACACAGACTGCAAAACTCTGTAAGCCCTGTTTCCATAGACCAATAGGTAAATCAGAAAAATCTGAAGGATACTTTAAAATAAAACATATATAAACCATAGTAGTTCTCATCCACATTCAGTTTTGATGAATACTGGTACTGTTAGCCTCAAGCATTCAAAAACTGAGTCAGTCAGATCCACACCCCTCAAAAACCTCCTTACTTAGTAATTTGGATTACTTTTAATTGTATCTTATGGTGATAACAGCATGTAGGTTTCTTGCTCTCAACTTCTCCTGTGCAAGTGGGATTCAACACTTCAGAATTGCTAGAAACAAAGCTCAAAGGAGATGATCATGAAGCTTAAACTTAATAAAATTATGACCAAGTACAAGAGTTAGTAAACACTAAGCTAATCAAGCTTAAATGACTGGACAGTGCCAGTTTAAACCACTTCTTCAGACATCAGCTTCAGACTTTTCTTGTTCCTCAAAAACTGAAAAAAAAAACCCTGTTAGTCCCATGAAGAACCACCTTATCTAACATAGCAGGAATAGAGCACAGGCCAATTAAATTAATTGCATTTATCTGAATAAACCTGCAGTTGACTTAGGAAAATTTTTGAAGCATGTAATATACCCTTACAATGCACTTTTTCTTGTTTTAAACCTGGATTGCACTATCTTTCTGCCCAGTGAACTCCCTCAATGCTTTAGCATACTCTAGATTATAAGACACTGGAAAAAAAGCACACAAAATGTATACACATACTTTTTTTGTACTCTTGGTTTCTGAAGATACACACATATTTCTATGAAACTCAGTTACCATCAAAAATCAAATACACCTTATATACTAGATATTGTTTATTCCATTTAAAAAAGACACAATATTAAAACTATACCCTTCCTTACCTTTGCAATAATGACTTCTTTTTTCAAAATCTTCATAGCATAGTATTTCCCACTAGCCTTCTCTCGGACCAGGATAACTTTGCCAAATGTGCCTTTGCCCAGTAGTTTTAAATAGTCAAAATCATTCATTGTCTATAAGAAGCAAAGAACAATGATTAGCAAGATTTTGCTATCCAGTTCCAATATGCACGAGTGTGTCCACATATAAACAAACACCATTACCAATATAATAAGAATCGTTTACAAAAATAGATACACTTAACATAATAGTTAACTGTATCCTTAAGCCACTAAGATATGTTGTTTGATACTATTATTATAGTTCTCTGAAGTCAAGCACTGCATAGTGTACTACACATACACACACACACTTATTTTACAAAGCAAACACAGAACTAATTCTCAGCCTACACCAGCAGTTCATGAATGCTCCCCATCTAAGCAAGCTCCTCAACTCCCATATTACTAGGGACACAAGACCATGGCATATCAGTAGATTTTGCGAACAGCAACCAAAGAACTGATGGCTTTTTTGATACATACATGATCCTCACTGCAATATTATACCAGTAAGACTCTAGAAACCATCTGCATTAGAGGTGGTCTTTTAAAAATTTGAATACAGATTACAATTACATGCTTTCTACATTGCTCTGAAAAGGAAAGGGTGGCAAGTTTTCCTCTTTCATGTTGACTCCATTACAGTGACCGATCAAGCATCTAGTATTGCCCCAGTTTTGCAGGTTAAATACAGTACATTTGAGAGGTGGTTCCACCAGCAGACAATTTGAGTTCAGTAGGTTTAGCAGCTCAACTGGAGTGCCACACACCAAAAGAATAAGATCAGACAATCTCAGATCCAAAGCAGTTCAGCCACTTTCACAAGCACAAAGCTTGAGACATTAATCGTCTTTGTTCTGCAAGTTCATTTCACAGCCAGTTCAGAAGCCTCAACACTATGGTCTATGCATTAGATACAAAGGTGATGATGTAGGAAAAACAAGCACAATACCGAGAATGCAGTGATTGCACAGTGTCACCTTGGATTGACAGCGAGGTTTCTGTGGCCAACTCAGGGCCAATCACTGGCTTCCACTGTGTGTTTCCACAGCACACCTTTCAGCGCCCTGCATTATTGCCTTGGGTGCAGCACCACATAACCACATGCAGATCATTAAGGCACCCAAGACCCTTGAGGAAAGCAAGTTAAGAGCCCTGAAAGACAACACACTCATCTATTCTTCTTATAGTACTGTACTGCAGTACCAACAACCTTCCTTTCTTAGTGAATAATGCACCTCAAAACATACATAAAGAGGAATTACACTCCAAGTCTCAGTTTTCCTAAGTTAAATATATTTAATCCTGTTACGTACGAGGAGAAGAAAAGATCATGCTATTTTTCATGTTCCTAGCGTCTCACTAGTTGCAGTTTCAGGCAATTCCCTTGAGTACTGGCATTCCAGATAAACTTCTACTTGTGACTCCCACAATGGAATCAGTACTTTCTTTATCTCTACCAGAAACACCTTCCAAGTGTAGAGCTATCGGGCACATCCTCAGGTGTGCAATCACAAATAGTAGCAGCAAAATATATTCTCTCCTGTGAGAAAGAATAAAACCCAAAATTTCCTTCTGAAATGATTTATTCTGTTAAGATCAAATGCATGATACTGTTACTGTGTATCTGAAGTTGCTGTCAACAAACTGTGAAAATAATTTATGCAATTGCTCGCTCAGAGTCAGTTTGAAATCTGCTCATAAATTCCATCAACCACATTAATGCTGTAATTCCTTGGCTTTTAAGTGTTCAACACGCAACTAAAAAGTTGTAAAAGGTCTCCAACATACTCCTTACAGTAACACCTGAATAGCTGGATATCTCAAAGCTTGATTAAACAAAAGATGTTTTCCATGTATCAATTTTCTAGCTATATCATCAGGAATTAAATCTGTTTCCCACATAATGTTTCATTGGTAGCTTCTAAGCAACCTAACCTTGGTGTATTCCATTCTTTGCTCACACATAAACATACTTAAAACATTTTGCCCTGACAGATCTTGTTTTGATGCCAAAACCACCTCACATTAGGAAGAACAAGGCTGCATTTATCCCAGTAAGAAATAAGGGCAACAGAGATTTCAAAGGCTCAGTATACTTTTTACCTAAAGCAGATCCACACAAGGGAGTGTAAAGTTAATGACCACTAGACAAAGTTTTAAAAGGTCAGCTTTTCCAAAAATGAGTATAATGTGTTACAACTAGTGAAGTATGATGTAGTATGCAAAGTTGCAATCCAAATACTACGTGGCTACTAATACCTACTCAACTAAAGGTAAAACTTCTCAAATATCACAGTCAATACTTTGGAAAGTCAGGTTATCTACTTCAGTAGTTCAATGATAACCATCAAGCAAAAACAACTGCCTTTGTGCTAAAGCAGTGAAAATTGACAAAACCACATGAAAAATCCAAAATGTATTCAAAACACAATTCAGATAGATGAGTAATTGAGGGCAAAATCCTCTGTATCTTCAGACATAAGTTATTGGATTCCCCAACAAAGAATGGTCAGCAGCTATATGGATAAAGAATCTTGAGTTAGTGACTTTGACAACGTATCACTTCTAACAGTCAAAAATTTATGAGAACAGCCTCAAAGGCGAAACTTTTTCACATACTTCTGATCTTCCTTGAGAGGCTGGATTTAGAGAGGGACTATCAAGACTCTGAATAAAACCAGCTTAGAAGAGCAGCCCTTTGCCCGCACACAGAAGGAGGATCTTGGCTCAGCTGATCACAGACATGGGTCTGATGCTAAGGGCAGCAAGCCAGTCAGATCGAAAGACTCATTTGCCCAAAATTTGTTTACAAAACATTCATCAAAGCAGTCATGAATCTAGCTGCAAGCTCAGTAAAAACAAATTTTCAAAAATATATGTATAAGAGGAAGGTAATAGTTTTGCAAGATTTTGAGCCACAGCTTAACAGCAGGTTATGGTGGTAGTGCTACTTCTAAGAATAAAATCTCCCGATGCTCTCATTCTTTAGAAGCTCAGCAGAAGGCTTAGAGATGATACGCGGTGCAGGGTAACTCAAAAAGTCTGCCAAAGAACACAAGACCTTGGGAGATAAAAACACAGATGCCATAGCTAAGGGTGTACTGAAAACTGGTGGAAAAATGGAAATACTTCCTAAACCTGAAGGATGTTGGTAAGCAAGTTTGGAGGCTCCCATAAGAATTCTTTCTCCTTGATGATTTTGCCACCTTTCTCATTCCTACCAAATTCTGAGGATTGTATCTTTTTCCTCATTACGTTACTTTTTTGTTTCCTCTGGAAAATCTATTCTTTACTTATTCTGTATCCTGCAAAACAATTTTGTAAACCAAGGAAAAGCAATGAAGCTACTGGAAACTGCACTAACCAAAGAACTGTACGACGTTCAGCCTTCTGTAAAGCCTATTTATTCCCCTATGGGTGATCTGTTCAAAAGAATACACCCTTACTACAGGCGCTGAAAATTCCTACCAAGGAACCATTTTTTTTAAATTCCTATTTGCACAAAGATTATACCACTTGGAATTTTCATCTGACTTCATCAGGAAGAAAACCTACTTACAAGAAATAGTAGAGCGAGAAATAAAAGTAGTTTGCTAAGAATTTCTAGTACTCTGAATTTTAGTGCTGCTATTACTGTAAAATGTGTCACACTGACACAATTAAAAAACTGCAAAAAAAAAAAAAGCAAAAAAAAAAAAAGCAAAAAAAAAAAGTGCTTTTGGTTCTTCCAGCTAATCTGGCCAGGGACATTGCTGTCATGTCTGTTCAAATCAAGTTCCACATCCTAAAGACTGTTTTCTTCATAAACCTCTTGCTACCTTTTTAGAGAAGAACAGGCCCACTCCTCTCTGTCTTGTTTCTTAATCTGATTATGCTCTTCTACTCATATGTATACCATCTGGTGCATGCACAAGCAAAATTCACTGGGCTTAGATGTAAAATCAGGTGACAAAACAAGCTTGTAGGACACATTGTACAAAAAAATCCCTGAAACAAAAAGAAATACAATACCAAAAAAATGCAATAAAAATGAATTGTTGTTATATTTGTAATGGTTCTTATTATAAAAAACTACAAAAGCTTAAATGTAAGCTTTTCAGAAACGTTTCTACAAAACAGAAACAGTTCTAAAATACTTCTTTTTTCCCCCAATTTCAATTAACACAGAAGGAGTGACAACTCCCCATCATTACGGTCACTTAGTATTTTTGATTCCAAAAACTTCTTAGAACCTGTCACTAAAGCCTTCCAACAGTCAGAAATCCAGAGTGGGATTTTGAGTTTAGGCAAAAAAAAAAAAAATAAAAAAATCCGTGCAGTCATCAGTATGCTCTTCACTGGCTACAAAACCTCCATTCTAGTCTATTATTAGGTGTTGAATATCACCATTTTTCATTTCACCTTTGTTTTGTAGAGTTTGCTTTTGGCTTGTTGCCAAATCCATTAAATATTCTGCAGCACTACACACGCATTGTCCCAGCATCTCATTCCAGCATTTCTTAAAGCGTAAGCAGCAAGACAGAAACAAAACTGATCTTCCTCCTCCTCCTGTTCCCACAACCCCTTTTGTTGTATGGGAAAATGCACTGCACTTGAACAAGGAAGCACACATTCCAGATAAACTACTTATATTAGACAGCATTAATTTTGACACCTTGAAAATGCCTGTTGTTATGCAGTGGTTTTGTACTCCACTAAGAGGATACACAAGCTTGGAATAGTGCTCAGATCTGTAACAGAGCAAACCCAAATCCCCTCCACATAATCACACTGCCTCTCAGAAAGACTGACACATCTCGAACGCTGCCTCTGTCTTGCTGTCACTTATCATATTTTACCCTGGAGCACAATCATTAAACATCTATGCCACAAGGCTAAAAGTTCAATGTCAACCTGACAATGTGAGATGAGAGTATTGTTACAGCTGTATATAATTAGTTTTTACCTTTTTCTACAGGGGAAAAAGGTTAGAAAATTGCGTACAATGAAACAACATGAAAGAACTATGTTTGCACTGCAAACTCAAGTTCTCAAAAGTTAGGACACAATAGAACTAAGATTTCCTACGACACCTTTGTTATATTCCTAAGGGTATAGTTTTCAGCCACTGATTTCTCTATGATTCTTGCTTCATATGGTGCAACAAACAAAACATGCTCCATGAGTAACGGCACACATTCACTATTTCTTTTCATTGTTCATCATTCAAAAGCATTCAGTTACATTAGCTATAAGACTATTTTGCTCTGCCAGCCGACTTCCACTTAGTTTTCTACAGGTTTCACTTCTAGCTAGAAAGAATGAATCCAGCCCTATAGAAATACGTTATTATTTTTCACACAATTTCAATGCATTTCTTGACTCATGTCAATCCTGTATAGCAAATGAAAGACATCCATTTGAATGATCCATTCTTCAAGAGTAGTCTATACTTACAGAAACACAAGACAAAATGGAAACACAAAATAAGAAGCAAATTTTTGTGTGGCACTGAATCCTTAAAACATGCTCTTAGTTGTGTGTTTATCCTGTTGACTCTGGAGATACAACTACAAGTATGTTATAGCCAACAATGTACATATTCCTACTTAGAGCAAAAGCTGTGAAGGACTGCAAAAAAAAACAAAACAAAAAAACAAAAAAACAACCTTGTTTTCTCTTATTTCATTGAAAACTAAAGCAGAGTTATTTTCCCAGATAGCAAAAAATAAGGTCATTAAAAGCCAAATCCTGCTAGCCTTTCTCATGCAAATTATCTAATTTATACTGGGCATTATTTGCATGAGAAAGGGAGCAAATCTACTTGTCTGAAGAAAATATTTTATTACTATACTTTTAAAAGAGTAAACAAACAAAAAAGAAAAGACAAAAATAATATTCAAACAATAGCAGAATGTTATCATGTGGCTGAATGGTTGAACTTTGTTTTTCAGAACTGCTATATCAGATAGCATAACAAATAAATAAAACTAAAGCAGTTCAGCTTTATTGCTGTAAAACAAATAAGTACTTTTATGCTTGCAATACAATGAAATTTATGTTGAAATACTATTCCCTGTATATTGTTTTACCCAACTAGATCATTCAACAAAAGTTATTTAAATATTAGTCTCGTCAGTTACTTTTTGATGACATTACCTTTCTTTTATGATGGGTTGTTGAAGCATCCATCTCCTCTTCCCCTATATTGTCTATCTGTGAAGTTGGACTACAGTTCATCCTCTCCTCTTCTTGCCTCTGAAGTCTGTCTGCTACAGCTTGGATTGCTTCTGTCCATTCTTCCCTATCATGAACAAGCCAACATTCCCTATTAGAAACTCATAAAATACGTCCAAATAAATGGTTTATAATGTTTTTCACATGCTACATTGCTTCGATGTTCAATTCTCATGTTATACAGCAGAAGACTCATAAATTAATCCCTTCAATTTCCTTTCAAATTCTGCATTATGTTAAAGGTGGTGAAGTTGACCAGCATCAAAAAGGATCAATGCACGGTCAATTTCAAGAATTACCAGTGTCTGATTTCGTAAATATTTTAATAGTAAAATCTTGAAAACACTTGCTCCAGGTTTAATACAGCTCAGAGCATAGAACACCATCTCCTATCCAATACGATCTGATAATAACTTGCTATTTTAAGAGACTTTTTGGTATTCCCTCTCCCTGCGAGACATTTTCATAGAAAATAAATAAGGTTTATTAAACCACACGGTGTGTGCAACTCTTTGTCTGTGTCCTGTTAAAACTCAACTTGTTGGCTAATTTCAAACTCCCCTGAGAAAGAGGCCCTCAAAGATAATTAAATGCCTACAAGCATCATAAAAACCAGTGGCTGCACAGAGGGGGCAGGCCCAGACAAGGGTTTCCACGGAGGGACACGGAGGGGCAGCTGAGCCCATGGCTACTCTGCGTGCTGGCGAACCAGCACAGATACACCAGCCGGCCCATCAGCACGCCACAGCCCCACACCAAGTGCAGTGCCTGCTGCTTTTTGCTCAGCCAGCAAGGGATACAGGAGGAGTCTGGTGGTATTAGCAAATGCAGTAACTAGTGAATGCTGAGTATTACACGGCATACACAGAAGAAAAGAGAGGGTGGAGAAACAGTACCAAGGCTGAATTAAAAACAATTCTAAGTGAATATGTGAGTGAATGAAGGAGAAACAACAGCTAAAGCAAAGCACTTGGTTATTTATTGATACAAACAACATGAATAAAGTCGAATCATAGTATTAATTTCAACAGGACAGACGTCCATAGTGGGAAGACTCAACGCATCTGGCCAGAGACACAGTATAGAATATTTTAGGAAGGTATACCATCTTATATGTCCTGTGTGTTTCTGGTGCATTAAAAATGTTAATTCTTAAGAGTTTCTGTATGTTTACTGAAACAAGAAAAACTAATAAGCAAACATAAAATAAATTATAACAAACATATTGTTTTCTGTGCCAAACACAGGAGCATATTAGGAGAAGTAAAAGGAAAATTTAAGAGAGCAAGGCTGGAAAACGCTTCAGTGCAGGCTTCTATTGTTCAAAATTTAACACTTCAGAGACAAATCATGACATAGTTTTGGCTTATTTGCACACACTCATCCCACCTACTCGCAGGGAACTCTTACACTAGCTATGAGCTCAGATAATATTTTGCAGAAGCTGACTTATAAATTCTTCAAATAACTGTTCAGATGTGCTCAGAATGTCACAGTTCCAAGTGCTGATCACTGTTCAGTCCCAGCAGAGACTGTGCTGAGGCTTCTGTGTAAAGAACACAGAAAGTAAAACAAAAATAAAACCCTCACCGTTCCTCCGGAGTGTCTACATGGAACGTCCTCTCTATGACAGTGGTCCACTGAAGACATCTGATAATGAATGTGTTTGGCTTTGGTCGCTCTGTTTTCATTAGTTGACATTCTAGAGAAATACATGACATTGCATCTTTTATACATTGCCAGTTAACAGGTGAAGAGCAAATAAAATTACTTAGATAAAATACATACAGCTTATTTATACATATCCAGCAAGTATCCAGCACGTAAAAGGAAATAAGGAATGGCAATATAACTATGGGCTTGAACAAAAGCTAGCAGGTAATAATCATAAGGTGAAGAACATAGTCAGAGGAATTGATGGAACTTATATTGTTGTCCTTATAAAGAGTGTGATATCCATTTGCAAACTAGGTCTGTGTTATGAGGGTAAGAAGAGTATTAGATCCTGGATTGCTCTAGTATGCCAAGGTAACAGCAGTACTCACAGGCACATTTTTCCATCTGTACCTGGCAGGAAGAATATGACATTTTCCCTTCAATGGTAACCATGCCACAATTACCCATGACACTGTCAGTGAAGCATTAGATTTATTGTAAAACACTCTGTCTGAGAAAATTCAGATGTTGAAATTAGTCTGATTATTAAATATAGAATAACCCCACACACACCCCGAGTGGGGCTCTAGTTCTCTTTGTTCCCCAGGGCAGATTCATGTTCACCTATGCTATTTCTCATAAGTATTTCTCTGAACTCTTTCTACAATCCCTGAAAAGTAGTAATTTCAAAACCTCTGTAAGCAAACTATTCAATCCAATTATAAGAAAGTTAATTATTTTTATATTTGGAAGATTTTTCCTAGCATTTAAAGCAACAGTTCTGATCATTGAAGTGTATTGCTTCTTGCCCTATTGACTAATTTAACTTTTCAGCAGCTATCTCTTTTAGACATTTGAACACTATTTTGTCTCTCTTCAGTCTTCTCTGGCCTAAATCAGTCCAACCAATCTGTCCTCACAGGCTGTGCTTTCAGATCCAAGATCTTCCTTGTCACACAATTCTAGACATACAGTTGACTGACTATTACTCCTCTGTCACAAGACCACAACACTGGCAATTCTGGCAATGGTTCAGTGAGACTGTGTATTAGATTTTACGATGGAGCACACTGCACTAAACACTACATCTGCAAAAACTGACCGACTAGAACTCTTTATTCATGCAAATACATTTAAACATTTTTGTGAAGTTAAGGTTACTCTGTCAAAAGTGTAATTTGTTTTCTTGCAGCTACCACAAAATAGACACAAACATCAAATCTCAGGTTCTGGAATGCTACCACTTGTTCGAGGCTCATCCAGATCAAATGTGTGATCTAAAATTATTTATTGGGTTCACAGATCAATCAATAATGAATATAGCAACAGAATTCCTGTTCGCTTACAAGCATTAGAGCCACCATATAGCAGCTGACCCACACCTTTTACCGATGTAGCTGACTATTCTGTAGCATAATAACCTGCACTTATTCTTGGTGAATTACATTTCATTTATTCCAGTTAATGTCAATGCTTTACAAAAGTCATGTTATATGACACGTACTACTTCACAAGGCATGCTATTCTTTCACAGAAATAAATTATATTGGCTTGACATATTTTTTCTCCACAAATTCAGGGCCCTGAGACCTCAACTATCATTCACTATTTTACAGGAAGGCTTTTTAAATATTCTCCAAGGAACTGCATCAGACCCAGCAAATTTCTAAACATCCAACACATGTAAGTACCCTCTACCCTGCTTTTGCTTCCTCTCTATGACTTTGCTGCCAGTGTTAATCGTACAAGATGCATACTCATAGCTGACCTCCTGAAATGCAGCTGCATACTGAAAATATATTAAAGCAATTCTCTTTAATATTACTAGCTCATATCGAGCGTGAAGCCTTAGTTCAAGGCAATCATTTATATGCCTGAATATCTAAACGATCTGGGACACAATTATCTAAGAAATGGCCTCTGTCTCCGTGATATAAAGCCATAGAAAGTATCAGCAGACTTACTTATACTGGACCATCCTTAACACAGTCGTGAAAGAACTGATATTAGCGGGGTCTTTGTGAGGACACCTTGATTTAAGAATTTGTATGCATACTGCAATTTTTTTATTTGAAAAAGCAAAGAAGAGTGGAAGTGGGTATGTCTGTTGATAGGATTCTTTTTGCACCTTAGCAGAATACCTCAGAAGCTTGACAGACTCACATATAAAAAAATGGAAGAGGAAGAAAGTAAATATTGCATTACACAGGAGTGTATTCCTTGATGCACAAACCTATATATTCACCATACACCTATAAATTATTACTTAAGTCAGACTACTCACTGGTCAAGGAGATGATATTACATTTCACAAATCTGCATACACTGTGGCCATTCAAAAGAGAAACAGTAACCCAACCTCACTGCTTTTATAAACTCAGCTAGGTCTTGGATGGGATGAGAGCCATCCTCAATATTTAGAGGAAAGAGCTATGGCAGGATGGACATAGGAAGTGGGAATTTAACACAAAAGCTCAAAGAGAAACAAGGACTGGAGCAGATGACGGGAACTTGGGAAGCATAATGAAGTAGAGCTGCTTAGGATACTTAACCAGGCTTGTAGCTGGGTGCAAATATTATTCATGAGGTCAAAGAAACCCCCATCTTCAGAGATATGGTTGAAGTCCAAGCTATGATCATGATGACAGTGAGAGTAGGGTTAACAAGTTACTTGTTTTCTTAACTTCCTCAGCTGTAGCTTGAAGGAATGTGTCAGGATACCCTCATAACAGAAGAAACCAGAAGCATTGTCTGCTCTAAGATTATCTCATCTTACTCCTGACAAAACCATCCTCTCATCTTTAATCCTATCACACTTCAATCATGTAGGCTGAAATTTTCTTTGTTGGGTGTCTGCCTAAAGCTGCACACTGCTGGAAAACACTACTTTTTGGAGACGAGACTTAAAACTTGGCAAACCAAGACCTTTGATATCCTTTTAGTATTCCTGTGAAAATGTAAGGCATCTGGCCACACTACATGTGGGAGGGATAAGAGCGCAGTGAGAGGAGGGTAAAAAATTACAATAACAATTACTAAACCATAAAATCATTGAAAACCTATGCATTGAGTATAATCCAGAGGCTACAGCTATCTCCTGCCTCTACATCTCCTAAATGGAAAGCTCTTTCTCCTATATTCATAATGCCTCATCCTATTCCTCACGCAATATGAAAAAGAAACTACCTCACTGAGGCAAAATCCAGTACAGAGAGATGGCATACAGCAAGCTATTTACAGAAGAGATGTCTGGAACAAAAGACCAGGGAGTAAAGGAGAAGAGTGGAAATGGGACAGGAAAAAGGCTGGAACCTGTGTGAGAAAGAAAAACTTGAGGGATAGCTAAAGTATAGCTAAACTAGAGTAGCTACTTTAGGAGAAGGAAGGCAAAAGAAGCTGCCAGGGACAGAGAAGTGAGGTGACTGTTAGGACAATCGGAAGGCAAACAGGTACAGAGTCAAACCTGCAGAAAAGTATGTACCAATTAAAAAGCACATCCTCTCCAGTGCCTGTAACAGAGACGAAGATTTTTAATTTCACCATTCATTTTCTGATTGCAAATACACACAGAAATACATACATTAAAATGGCAACATGTTTGCCAACTTAGGCACGCAAAAATTGGAAGGAAAAGAATTAAGCCTGCCTATGTCCAAATGCTATCTATAATATAGTCTTTACCTATATATATAGTATACTATATATACTAAAATAAATAAAATTATATATATTAGTATGTACATCATGTAAATAGGTATCTAATATGTAGATGTATTATTGGTACTATGTTAATATTTTCAGCCAGTCCTCAAAGTGATGATGTGCATTATTAACAAGAACAAAACATACAGATGCATATACTAAACTCTGTAACTACTGCATTTACTCTCTGAGTTTTCCTTACAGATTATTAACTAAATTAATTAAAGGAAACAAAAAATACCTTAGCAATTAAAAATGGCACTGAAAATACAAAAAAACAAAAATGCCATTTCACTATCACTGAAGGATGGTATTGAAAAATAAAATCTAGCAAAACTTAATGAGCTTTTTTAATCTTCTGTTAAAAGTAGCTAAAGATCTAATTTCCTCATGGAAGATCAAAATTGAGTATGTTCATATCCTTCCCTTCTGGAGCAAAAAGAGTTTCAGAAAGAAGTGGAGGACCAGTGTATTTCTAGAAGTGGTGTGCTACCCATCCTTCTCAAGTACATAGAAGTAACTGAAGTCTGCTGATATTTAGTGCACCCACATGCTTCATGTGCTGCTGTATACAAATGTATGGGATAAACAACATTCCTGTCATGATTGCAACATGAATAAAAACTTGTTTGCGAACGTCTTTCACCTACAGCTAGGAAAAAAAAATCTACTAAGATTAATAAGTACTCTAATACACAGTTACTGCTAATTACCAAAATATTTTTCTACTAATTACTGGAAAAACTGTAGTAGTTTTAGGCAGAGATAATACTTTGGAAACTACAAAAGCACAGAAGAATGAGTGAAACTGGCTACTGAGAGCTGGCTCCAAAAGCTCGAGTGATAGTTGGGTCATTACCAAGAGTAGAGAACAATCTACCATAATGTCTTCAAGTTTGCTACTATACATAAACATATGTAATTAAAGGGCTGCATCTCAACTTAAAACAGTTGGAAGTCTAAATTATCATTCAAAGAGATGAGTAAGCCAGTAAACAGACAGACTCAACTTTGTGTTCTTGTATGCTAGCCATCTACAACTTGGAATTACACACTTTAATCCTAAATCTTTCTGTCTCGCTGGGATTAAACATTGGTCATGAGAATTTTCCCCTTTAATATTAGAGAGGATGAAAAACCTTGGGGGAGATCACTTGTTTGAAGCAGTAAAACACAAAATCAGTAACAAAAACCGGCAACTCTGTTCCAGCAAGTCTGTAGCACTTGTTTGGCCATTTTTGGATCTATACTGAAAATGGAAAAAATGAAATAAAACCAGTATAAAGAAATGCAATGGATGTTTCTCAAGTATTTAACTTCTCTTTTAAAAACAAAAACAACAAA